CACTTCTACAAATATCTACTATAAAAACAGGTACTTTATTTCCACCCATGCCTATCCCTGCACATTTTGGAGGAAAGCATGATTACAAGATGTGTGGTACTATTGTTCTCAGTGACCAGTGCTTCATTGGACACTCTGGGAGACTGAATCAGGAGAATTCCAAATTTGAGTCCAGTTTGATTCCCGGTGTTCACCACCAAGCTTGGCTAGTGGCCAAGTCTTCATTGCATGTTTGGATGTTTGGTGTTTCTGTTTTAATATTTAGATTTTTGATCCATTTTGATTTTAGTTTAGTGCATGGTGAGAGACATGGGTCTAGTTTTAGTCGTCTTTATTATTTTTTATGCTTAGAGCCTTCACACTCTTATGGAAATTCATGAAATATATATATTTTTATCCCTTTGTGCTGCGGAATACCAGAATTTACTTCTTTTACCCGTGTTTTGGTACCTGTTTTCCAGTCCCCTATTATTTTTTCTCTACCAGCCTCTAGTAGTCACTCTACTACATTCAGTTTGCTTTTTACCTTTCACATATTAAGGAGAACATTTATTACTTGTCCTTCTGTAAGTGCCTTATTTCATTTAACATATACTCAGTATCATTAGTCATCACAGAAATGTAAATAAAAATTATGCATTACTTCACACATGGTAGGATGGCTATTATCAAAAGACAAAGGATAAAAGGTATTGGTCAGATATAAAGAAAAGAGAATTCACACATTTTTGGTAGGGGAAAGTCATATGGGAAACAGTGTGGAGCTCCTCAAAAACTTAAAAATAGATCACCAATGATAAAGCAATTTCTCTGTTTGGTATATACCCATAGGAAATGACATCAACAGCTCATGGAGAAATTTGTGATCCTATGTTCATTGCACATTATTCACAGCAGCCAAAATATGGAGCCAGTATAAGTGTCCGTTGAGGAATGGGTAAAGAAATTGTTCTACATACACGAATTTTGTTCAACCTTAAAAGAAGATGTTAAAATTTGTGGCAACATGGATAAATCTGGAGGACATTATGCTAAGTGAAATGTTATACACAGAAATAAAATACTGCAAACATTGATTAATATGTCAAATTTATTTTACTTTTTTTCATTGAGTTTATTGGTACATTCATCATTGGGATCTTGTACCTTTCCATGACAGAGCTTGGTTCTCATTTTACCCCTGCCCTCCCTTCACCCCCTCTACCCTTCCCTAGAGTCATTCATAGGAAAATGGATGCATATTGAGGCCATACACTTAATTAAAATAAATAAGACACACATATGTAAATACCAAATAGTTTCTCTGATGTGAAAAACTGAAAGTGTAAATAAGATCCAAATGGTATAATTGACAATGTGAAATAGGAAGAAAAGGGCTAAAGGTGTAGGAGAAGTGGGAAGGGTAGGAAATAAGGGAAAAGAAAAAAAATGAGAAAATGAAATAATGGAAATACGTCACATTTAAAATAGAACAGAATGGTGGTTACAAGGGGCAGATGAGATGTGGAGTGTTGCAGGAGGAATTGGCAAGGGACACACACACAGAGATGAGCTGACTGGAAGTAAAATAATAAAAAGTTTATTTTGCTAGGCAAAGGCTGATCACATTCAAAAAGGCAGCGCCAGTGATCGACCTCCTATTGGGTGGCAGCTCCCTCTTTTATAAGGCTTTACAGCCTTGATCTCATTCAGGTGGTTACATTTCACTTCCTCATTTCACATCACTGTCACAAGATAGTTAACTTTAACCCAGACGTAACAGTTCTCTGCAGTTGGGGAATTTACCTTAAAAATCCCTCTGGCTATCTATTCTAGTGCACAGGAAGTGGGTGTTCAAGGTTAGGGATGAGGCCAAATGTCCCACTTCACGGTCAGTGCCTCCGGTGTCTGGTAATTTTGAAGTAAACAAAGCAGATTACTGTTAGAGACAGAAGTTATTTTACATTTTCCTAACATTTGGTAGGTTTTTGGATTATTTCCAAAAGTTCTCTGTATCATGGGGGTTTGAAGATATGTAGGACAATATAGAGTTGCCATTATATAGGAAATGAAAATCTAAACATATAATGTGTAGCACACTGACTACCATTATTAATATTATATTGCATAGTGGAAATTTAGTAACAGTAAATTTCAGGTGTTCTCCCACACACAAAAATGAGTATGTGAAATGATGAGTATGTTAATTTGCGTAATTATACTAATTATTTCACTATATATGTCATTGTAAACATTAAATATGTGCAACAAAATTTTAAAACAGTTCTTTAATTGGAATCAAACTTTACAATTGATGAAGTTATCTTGCTTCACGTACTTTGAGACACACTCAAAGGGGGTTGAGAGGACCTGTGAGGTGATGCAGGTCTTACTTTGAATGAGACAGTGTTTATATATAGACTATCATAGTAAAGTGTTTGGAGCCACACACTTTCAGTAAATATGTTTTTTGGACTTGCAGCTATATGTTCGTAAGAATGAGTTAAAAGGCTGGTTCCAGGTTGCACCCAAGTGATGAATCCTGGCCTCAGAAAAGTTATATACCTTATTGCTTAGAAAAAAATAACAATGGGTACGATTGAAACAATAAATAAAAAGCAAAACCACAAAGCAGTGCTGACCGTATTAAGTGCTGGCGAAAATATGAAGAAATTGGGTCTCTTACACATTTGTAAAGGGAATGTACATTGATGTAGCTACTTTGAAGAGTCTAGAAATTTCATATACTGTTGAACCTACTCTTAAAATATGACCAAGTAATTCTGTTATTAGGTATTTAGCATTGGAAGGTGAAAATGATTTGGGATGCACATGTTTACATGAGTATTTGTAGCTAGTTTATTGATAACCATCTGAAACTGGAAACAGCATGAATTTCCTTCAGTGAATGAATGAACACGTGATGGAAAATCTGTTCAGAGGAACTCTACTCACATACAATATAGTGTCATGTTATAACTACATAAATATGGATGATTATGAAAATCCTTCAATGAAACAAGCTGCTCTCAAAACATATGTTATATGTAAACTTTATAAAATATCCTGGAAATTACAAAAATGTAGGAGCAGAAATTTGATCAATTGTATCCAAGTTAGGTCTGGAGGGAGAGTTTGGCTACCAAGGGAAATCATGAGAAAGTTTACTTAGGAAATTGCATGAGTTCATGCAAGTGTTAAAACTTATAGGACTGTACTAAAAATAGTCAAATTTACTGCATGCATATTAAGAAAATGTAAATAGTGGCTTGAAAATACATGTGAAATAAATGTGTCAGAGGCGAATGAAGAGTGTAAAAAATAAAGGATGTAATTTAGGTGAAGTTCACACAGAGGAAGCTGAAGGACGAACTTGTAAGCATTTGTTTTTCCATGAATGTCACATTGGGTTGGACAACTGAAAAAGCTTCAAGTATTCATTAAGACATAACTGATTTTATGTACATCATTTTGTTAACAACATAATGTGGCATTTAAAAGAGCCTAATATGAAAATAAATCTCATTACTATTTTAACGAGATGGTCAAGAAATTAACACAGGAAAAGTGATATGCATTCCTGTTTCTAATTCTTTAGTAATAATTCAGTCTTATGAGTGTGTATGTGTGTGTTTAACATGTATGTGTATATATTTATTTAGTCATACTGCAAGCAAAACATACTTCTGTGCCCTGCGCCATACTTTGGAGAGGCATTTTATGAGGTATGTTAAATGACAGGAAAAATGGTAGAAAAGCATAAGAAAAATAAATTACTATAGTATGGGAAGATTTATGTCATGACTGGCTGTTTCTTTTTCATGTGGTGGCAATTAACCACTTTATTTACGATATTTTATCAGTATGTATGTGCAGTCGATGATGACTGCATTCATTGGGGGAGTTGATACGTGTACATACTGCATTTTAGCTCTTTTCTCATCCTCTTCCCCTACCCCCGCCCTCCATCTCTTGGTCCTCCTCCTTTGTAGTAAAGGCCACAAAGAAGTATAAACTTTCTGGCTAAGGATTTACCTCAATGGCAACGTGCCTGGCTTGCAAGTACAAGGTCCTGTGGTCTGTTCCCATAAAGGGGGAAAAAAGAAGGATACATGAGTTATTTTTAGGAAAACGGATACATCTTGAGAGCATAATGTTAGGTGAAATCAGGCTAAGAAGCTTAAATGTTGCAAAGTTTCTCTTTTTTTCCTCATTGAGTTTATTGGTACATTCTAGGTAGACAGTACAGTTACATCCATTATTGGGATCTTGTACCTTTACATGACAGGTCTTGCTTCTCATTTTTTCCCCTTGTCCCTGCCCTCCCTTCACCCCTCTCCTCTCCCCCTTTACAAATACTTCATTTCTGTTTTTTCATTTTCTCATTGTTTTTATTTTCCCTTATTAGTTTTTCCCTACCCTTCCCACTTTCCCTACACCTTTAGCCCCTTTCTTCCTATTTCACATTGTCAATTATATCATTAGGATCTTATGTGCTATAATGGTTTATTCACACCAGAGAAACTATTTGGTATTAACACATGTGTGACTTATTTATTTCTCTTAGGAGTATGTCCATTTTTCTAGGAATGAATCTAATTCTCATTCTTTATGGCTGAGTAATATTCCATTTTATAGAAAAACCACATCTTCTTTATCCAGTTTCCAACTGATGGGCAAATGGGCTGTTTCCAAGTTACATATTCAAGAAATTGATACTGGATCAGCAGTGCACATTTCCCGGAATGATTCTGTTGCAAGGATTTGATTAAAATATGTAGACATGCACATGTTGTTTTACATGCATACACATATATTTTTATTAATCAAGCACAACCACACATTTCTTTACACTGCAACATACTGTTTGAAAACAAATCATGAAGGAAAATAAACGACAGGAAGAAGAGTAGAGAGGACTGGGAAGGCCAGTGTGCTGCAGTACAGGAAGGTTCACGTCCTGACTAGATGTCTCAGCTCTCACTGATCTGCACGGCCACAGAGGAAGTAGAATTTGGGTCATCATCACGCTATTCCAGTCCAGGCTTTTCCTGTATTGGACAGATGTCCAAGTGTCCCGGATCACTGGACCAGAGCCTGAAAAAAGGCCTTAGGGACCCAGAGAAGGAGCCCTGAGAAAAGGTGTACATGTGGCTCTTATCTGTCATGTTATAGAATGAGATACACCCACCCTCATAATCTAAGAAAATGCACACTACGCTAGGACGCTTCCGTAGAGTGAGTTGAGTTTCTGGAGAGGTGAGTGCCCAATACTCATTTTTATAAAGCCTGATGGCCCAGAAACCATCTTCAGGTTTTATGTAAGTCTTCTCCTTCCTCATTACATCAGTCCTACAAACTCCCAAGTCCCATGCTGTACTGTTTTTCACTTCCACCTCCCAGTAGCATCTCCCTGAGCTGATGGCCTCTTTACCCAGCACACAGGGAAGGGATTCAAATCTCAGCTGACTCTTAGGTAGATCTTGAGGTTTCTCCCCCAAGGTTACTTGCTGTCTTTCTTCAGACAAGAGGAGGGCGGGATGGGCTGTTTCTGGATCCAGAGTCACATTCACTGCAGAGAAAACCAAACTTTTAATCTCCAAGAGGATTAGAGTGATTGTGAAGTCAGGATACCTACAGAAGCCTGAGATGTCTGGGGACTGGTCGAGGAGATTCTGCCATTTGCCCTCCCCTCCAGCTCCCCCTGATATCGTGCGTAGCCTGAGGAGTAGGGTCACTCTTGGTCAGACTCACCAGCCTGGAAAACTTCTTTCCTCCAGTCTGAAAAGAACAGAAATATGTGTTACCAGATCATATGTTTGAATTTCTAGGCACAATAGATAATTTCTTCTTTTGAACATTTTCCTTTTCTTCTTTTCTTTCTTGGTAATGTCCCAAGCTTATTCTGTACCTTTTGTTTGCAATATTTTCCACCGTTCATCATCAAATATTCCTACAGAAATTCAGTGCTCTACTTCATATTTCCTGTGGTGTAAAATGCAGGTGTACACTAAGATGCAGTTACTCTCTTCTTGAGAAACAACAAAAGCACATGTTTTCCAACCAGCATCCCTACTTCATTTGAGTGGAACAGTATATCTGAATCGTAGCCAATGAAATAGGCACAGAAGTCAAAATACCGTTTCTACACTTGAAAATGAAATATTTCAGGTGAAATTTTCATTCTTGTTCTTATTAGAGCAATTCCTCACTTCTGCCGGTGGTAGGCTATAAAACAGAGTGTAGAACACTGGGGGAAAATTCCTAGTATTAAAGGTACAGTTTTGAAGAGAGTTTCTAGGCGAGACACCCAACTAGGTACATTCAGATTTTAATTTGCAAAAGTGAAGAATACCATATAATTGTGTTTTACAACTCCCAACTGAGTAAGGGAAGTTCATGTTTTACAAAAATTATAATTAATTATGCTGATCAATGATTTGTTAAATAGAAAATAAAAGTTAATTCCTGTTGGATTTGTGGAAAAGGAAGATTTGTGGACTGAACAAAAATTCTTTATTCATTTCTTTGTATCTACCTGTTAACTTTTTTTTTTTTTTTTTTTTTTTTTTTTACCAGAGATCGAACTTGGGTCCTTGTGCTTGCAAGGCAGGCCACTGAACCGCTGAGCTAAATCCCTGGCCCACTACCTGTTAACTTAAAAAAATTAATTTTATTGGTACATTTAATGTATACAATATAATGACATCTATCACTGGAAATTTGTACCTTTACATAATCGGTCTTGGTTTTTATTTTTTCCCCTTTCCCTTACCCTTCCTTTAACTGCTCTCTCCCTCCCTATCTACAAAGACTTTGTTTCCATTAGTTTTCATTTTCTCATATTAATTCCATCCCCTTCTATCCTTTCTCCTCCCCTTCCCATTTCCCCTTCGCCTGTGTCCCTTTTCTTCCTATTTCGCATTATCTATTATATCTTTTAGTCCTTACTACACTTTCAGTTTCTTACACTAGAGAAACTATTTGGTACTTACACGTGTGTCCTATTTATATCACTGAAGAATACCGCCTCAGTGTGCATCCATTTAGCTATAAATATCTCTCATTTCTCATTTTTTATGGCTAAGTAGTATTCCATTTTATAAAAAACCCTAATTTTCTTTATCCGGTCTCCTGTTCATGGGCAGTTGGGCTGCTTCCAAGTTTTAGCTATTACAAATTGTGCTGCTGTGAACATGGGTGCACATATATCACTGTGGTATGATCTTTTAATTCTTTAGGGAAGATACCCAGCAGGGGAATAGCTGGGTCAAATGGGACTTCCAATCCTAGTTCTTTAAGATATCTCCATACTGATTTCCACAGTGGTTGCACCAGTCTACACTCCCACCAGCAGTGGAGCAGGGTTCCTCTTTCCTCACAGCCCCTCCAGCATTTGTTGGTTGATATCATGATAGCAGCCATTCTTTCTGGGGTGAAGTGGAATCTCAGTGTTGTTTTCACATGAATTTCTTGAATGTGGAAGATTTTTTCATTTGCTTGCTATTTTTACTTCCTTGTCTGAGAAATGTCTGTTCATTTCAGATGCCCATTTTTGGATTGGGTCTTTAAATTTTGGAGGTCTGATTTTTTGAGTTCTTTATATATTCTAGATAGTAGACCTTTGTCTGAGGAAGAGCTGGTGAAAAAATTTTCCCCAGATTGTGGGTTGTCACTTCACACTGCTGGTTGTTTTCTTGCTGAGCAGATTTTTAATAAGAAGACATCTCACTTGTTTATCATTTGTGCTAGTTCACAGGCAACTGAGGTTTTGTTCATAAAATATTTTCCTACACCAGTGTCTTCAAGAATTCTACCTAACCTCTTTTCCAGCCAGTTTAGTGTTTCTGTTTTAATATTTAGATCTTTAATCCATTTCAATTTCACTTTAGTGCATGGTGAGAGATATAGATCTAGTTTTAATCTTTGGCAAGTTAAACCCAATTTTTCCAGCACCATTTATTAAAAAGCCTATCTTTACTCCAGTGAGGGTATCTGGAGTTGTTTCTGCATCTTCTAATCTGTTTCAGTGGTCCCCAGGTCTGTTTCTTTGCCCATACCATGCTGTTTTTATCACAGTAGCTTTGTGGTATAGTTTTAAATTGGGGATTGTAATACCCCCTGTCATGTCTCTGTTTTCTAGAATGTCTTTTGCTGTTCCAGGTCTCTTCTTGTTCCAAATGAATTTTTGGATTGTTTTCTCTAGTTCTGTTAAATATACGGTTGGAATTTTAATAGGGATTACATTGAATCTGTATAGCTGTTTTGGAAGTATGGCCATTTTCACTATGTTGGTTCTTCCTAACCAGGAGCAACAGATTTCTTTCCTTTTTCTGATATCCTCTTCAATTTCTTTTTGCAGAGTGCTGTAGTTTTCAGAGTAGAGGTCTTTGATTTCTTTTGTTAGGTTGATGCCTAGGTATTTCAGTTTTTTGGATGCTATTGTGAAAGGAATTGATTATCCCATTTGTCTCTTAGTGAGTCTGTTTTTTGTGTAAAGAAAAGCTTTTGAATTATGTGTGTTAACCTTGTATCCAGTTACTTTACTGAATTTGGTTATTAAGTGACTGTTGGTGGAGTTCTTGGGGTCGTCTATATAGAGTATCAAGTCACGTGCAAATAATAACAATTTGACTTCTTCATTTCTTATCTTTATTCCTGTTATTTCTTTATCTTGTATAATTGCTGTGGCTAATGTTTCCATTGTTTTTACCCTTGACTCTATTAATATAGTGTATTACATTTATTTATTTGCATATGTTGAACCATCCCTGTATCGCTGTATCTTCTTAATGATCTTCTGCATTCTGTTTGCCAGTATCTTATTAAGGATTTTTGCATCTATGTTCATTAGTGAGATTGACCTTTAGTCCTCTTTTTCAGTTGGGTCTTTCTCTGCTTTGGGGATCAAGGTGATACTTGCTTCCAGGAATGAATTTGGGAGTATTACTTCTCTTTCAATTCAATTGAAGAGTTTAAACAGTAGTGATAGTAGTTCCTCTCTAAATGTCTTATAGAATATTCAGCAGTGAAGCCATCAGGGCCTGGGCTTTTGGTACATTTTAATAATGTTTTCAATCTCATTGATTGATTTTGGGTCATTTAGAATTTTTAGGTCATCTTTGTTCAACTTTGGTAATTCATACAATTTAGGAACCTGTCCATTTGTTCTGTATTTTCTATCTTATTTGTGTAAAGGTTTTGAAGTAGATATTGATGATCCTCTGTATTTCTGCTGGATCCATTGTAATTTCACCCTTTTCACTCCTAATTGCAGGGATTTGGGTCTTTTCTTTCCTTTTTAAAAATAAGGTTGGCTCTTTCCTGGGCAGGCCTTGGCTGGGCAGGTTTGCCTGAGCCTCTGGGATCAGGTTGAATCCCTTGCTGGGTTCTGCCTGTAGCCACGCAGGTCTGGACCCCCCAGATCCTCCCCCAGATCTGTGCACACTCACAGATCTACCTCTGTTAACCTTTAAATGTTTTGTGAGAGAAAGGTGAGAAAAGAACACAAAATATTTAAAAAGCCATCATCCTTGCTAAGGTTTCCATGGAACAGAGGTTAGTTACTAAATATTTATCTCTGCAGTTAGAATGTTGTCTTACATAATTCAGGAGCTTAATTATACACCTTTTCATCCAAGAAAATTGTCATAGAACAAAGTCACTCACCAGGAAACAAAGATGACTTCTCCCAGCCTGCAAGGTTACAAAGTGATGAGACATCATTAATCTTCCTGGCTCTTCTATATCATTTCTTCTTTTTTTATTCTTGGTATTCTGTGAGTATTCAGCTGCATTATCGTCTATGTTTCTAAATATTCTTTTTGTGAATATAGAAATTGATAGAAATATAAAGAAAGATTTCTGAAAATTTAAATTAAAACTAGCAAAGGAGGGAAAGGAGAAAGAAAGAAAAATGAATAATGGAAAACATACAATTTGAGAAATGAAGACGGAAAGGAGGAAAAATGGAAAAATAAATAGAAAGATGGGGAAAGAGTGATGGAAGAAAGGAAGAAGGAAGAAAGCAGCAGAAAGGGAAGGCTAAAGGGAGACACGGGGACAAAAGAGCAGGAGCTAGAAAGGATGAAGGGAAAAGAGCAGAGACTGAGACAAAAATGTAAACAGAGAAAATCAGTGGTAATAGACGAGAAGAGAAAAGAAGGAAAATTTGTAGAATAACCATGAGAAACACTTTCCCATATATAAAATAAATTCCAAATTAGCAAAAAGTTGGATTAAACATCCTTCGCTCCAACACAGTGAATATGTCATAGTATATTAGGCCTGATTCTGTGCCGTGGGTTTGCAGAGGGTAAGGTTTTTTAAAAAATTATTTATGACACTTGAACTGTGAGACTTACCATTCATGAATTGAGCTTTTATGTCATCTGAAATGAGAAGTACACATAAGTCTCCGCCTCACAAAGAGATAAAGATGCAGAAAGAAAGACCTGCATTCCTCGGAGGAGCTTTTCACAGTCACTATTAATATCACATTAGCCAAGTCATCACTCCTTTCCGAAATTTCTTCTCATGGAAACAAATCAAGCTGAATCACATGATATTAAATACTTAAGGTAAGCAAGTAACTTATTGCTAACATTTTAATTATTATAATATAGAGTAATAACTTTTGAATTTCAAAAGGTATTGAGTTAAGAGTAAAGATTAAGAGCCGGGCGTGGTGGTGCATGTCTGTAACCCCAGCACTCGGGAGTCTGAGGCAGGAGGATCCCTGTGAGTTCGAGGCCAGCCTGGGCTACATAGTGAGTTCCAGGTTAGCCTCAACTACATAGTGAGACCCTGACTCAAAAAACAAAAACAAACAAAAAAAAGAGTAAAGATTAAGGATGAAGCGAAGCAAGAGATTACTATAGCGATAATAGAAAGTTGCAACTATTTTATATGGAAGAATACAATTACCAATTTCCTTTTGCAGTTTTTCTGAAAAACAAATGTGAAAACTCAGTTTTAAAATCACAGAATAAAGAAAATCTTTGCTGGGGAGGATAAAATAAAATAATCTGGGTTATGAGTACAAATTCTCAGTGATGAATGCAATCATAATGTATACTTAAAATGTAATATTGAAATAGTATATGAATTATTTATTAAGACTTTAAAAATCACTTTTTAAATCCTACAACAGTTATTGAACAAAAAGAAGAAAATAAAAAATAGAACACAAGTATACAGGGATAAATTTTCAGTTGAAATTCAAGGAAGGAATGATCAAATTCTCTCATGCAGTATTCTTTTTGCTTTAAGTTAGAATGCTGATATTCACAGTGTTGCCCTGTCACATGCCACCTGTGCAATCACAGCCACAAATTATCAGTGTTTCCCCTAAGTTAGGCATTTGCTAAGATTTAGATAACAGCTCAATTGAATGCTACCTAGATAATGTGAAGTATTATTCTTTTGATTATAGAAGGAAGATGAGAGCATTAGAGGAGTCAATAACATGATCAAGTTTCAGCTGGCAAATGGGCAAATCAGTTATTTCAATGCAGATCTGTTAAACTCCATAGTGGAGACCACAATCACAGTGCCATAACTCTTCACTCATGGAGCAGCCAGCTGAGGTTTCAGTCACAAGGCAGAGAAGATGGCCGTCTTCTACACAGAACCATCAAAGGAAATTTCTTAAATTGTTCTCAGAGTCAGACTGGAAAGGGTAGGTACCCTGATTTCCCTCAAATACAGTCTCATATAAAAATTTCATTCATCTCAGAGTCCTATGAAGGAGTTAGTATCAACATCACGAACACAGCTAAAAGGTAGTGCAATATATAAAGGAATGGCAATGTGAAATAGGACGAAAAGGGCTAAAGGTCTAGGGGAAGTGGAAAGGGTAGGGGAAGGGAAATAAGGGAAAAGAAAAAAATAGGAGAAAAGGAAAACATGGAAACAAAATATTTATAAATAGGGGAGAGGGTGGAGGGATGGCAGGGGTATGGGGAAAAATGAGAACCAAGATCTGTCATGTAAAGGTACAAGATTCCAATGTTGAATGTAACTGTACTGTGTACTTAAAAAGTACCAATAAACTCAATGAAAAAAATATAAAGAGAAAAGTACATGCAGAAAGTGAGTTAACTGGCTGGAGAACAGAGGAAGAGAAGAAAAAGAGGAGGAGAAGGAGAACAGAGAATTGGCTAAGGGATTTTTATTAGTGAGAAACCATAAAAACCATAAAGATATTCATAATGAGGAGATAGGAGGAATGGAAAAATATCAAAATAGGGATAAAGATAGGAAGACCATATTTTGTACATAAAATATCATTAAAGTTTACTCTTCTCCTTCCCAAATTTATCTGATAAATAAAAGTATATAAGAACAACAATGAAACAAAAGCAAAACAAAATGTGTTATAAAATCATTGATATTCTTTGAGTACTCTGTGCCAGGCTCTGTGGAAGTGCTTTGAAAGCAGGGTCACGTGTATGTTCTAAAGTGCTCAGAAAATAAATTGGTAGACATATTTGGAAGAGTAACCTGAGATTAGACAAAGGACACATTTCTTGTTGCTCTCCATAATTGTTTATTCTAGAATTATAATTTTATCCAAAGTGAGCCTGACATCAGTTTACCACTTGTCTGTCTGTCTATCTATCTTTTTTCTTTTTTGGTACTGGGAATCCAACTCAGAGCCTTGTCCTTGTCAGGCAGGTGCTCTGCTGATGGTCTGTATCCCTGGCCCGTATTTATTTATTTTTGGCAAGGACCATGAAGGAACATGTCTGTGGGAGACTGATACTCAATATTTGTGCTTCCTATATATGTACTAGAAGAATCTTGCCATATTCAGTTAGTATTAATAGTTGATCTAAAAGAATAAAGCAATTTGTTTTGTTTTCTGTGTTTCCATTGGCATTATTGAAAATTAGCTTTTAACCTTCTAGTTTGAGCTTTGATTTTTATCTTTGTCAAAAGATGAAGCTCAGTAAGATGTAATAGAAGTAGGATCCCTTCAAAATAAACTCAACATCCTCAGTCACTGGGTTAGGTGTAATAAAAATTGAGTTTATTAAAAATAATTAAGTTTATGATGATAAGTAACAAAGTGAGAAATTATTTTGGAAAACAGCAGTTTATGAAAAAACTTAAAAGCATTTCAGCTGTTACAAAGAAGTATTAGTGAGCTGTCTTTTGTATGTTGTGTGGCTTCCTTGATTACTAAGATTGTGCAGCAGTTAAAGACCTACTTGAAAAATCCATAACTTGACTTTATTGAACTCCTTTATTAAACTTCATAAGGTACTCCAACACTCAATTTCTTTTTACACTGATCAGTGTAGAACCTGCCTTGGGTTTATATGGGAGAATTTGCTCCTTGTTTCATGGGATGGCCCTCAAAAGCTTCACATCATAAAACTTAAAGGAAGCAATGTGGTGTTTCTTCATGCTACTTGATTTGGGAGTGTATTCTTAGAAATGATAGCAAGGTAAAAGCAAAAAAAAATAGATAAATTGATTTTCATAAAAATTGCAAAATGTGCATCAGATGACAATGAACTCTTACAGCTTAATCACAAGAAGAAAACAACTCATTAAAAAAGAAGATGAACTTAAATAGACATTACTTTAGAGAAGACAGGCCAATGGAAGCAAGCCCATGAAAAATGTATACTATAAATGGTATACATTTGAAGATAAATAATCTACCTACTTGTTTAAAATACCTTTCATTTTTCTGAAAAAGAAGTTAGAGAAAAACTTGACAGTTGCAAAAACAAAAGCATTTAAATACAGATTAAATGGAAGCAAAATGCAAACTAGTAGTAGAGCTGCACTAAAGGCAGAATTTTATTTATCCTGCAAAAGATGAAGATGAGGATACATTTTGCTTCTCTTGCTATTGTCTAAAATTTGGTTCTGTGTAGTAATAGCATTAGTCAAACCGGCTCCAGTTATGACACTCATCATTTCTATTTTTATTTCACCTGCGAAACAAATGAGCAATATTGGTTAAATAAGTGAAGTAATTTACAAGTGCAATCATGAATGATGAAATATTAGTTGGCTTGGGGCAAAGTGAGTTAACTGATGGGGAAGAACAGAGACAGAGAGCCAAAAATGTTTAAAGAATTTCTTTTTATAAGAGTGCATAAAAATTACAAATAGCTATTTATAGAAGGGAGCAAGGAGGATTGAAAGAATAAGGAAGGAGACATAAATTACTACAGAAAGATCATATTGTACATGTAAAATGTCATTAAAGTTTACCTTTGTCTCTTCTAAGTTGATCTGAAAAATAAAAATATGAAAGAATCAGAATGAGTCAAAAGCGAAACACAATATATTCTAAGGTCATTCATATCCTTACTGTGCTCCTCGATACCAGGCCCTATGAAAATGCTGTGCAAGCAGAATCATTTTTCCAATCTAAAGTGCTCAGTAAATAAATTACTACACATCTTTGGAAGAGTAACATGAGATTAGAGGAAGCACACATTCCTTGCTTTCTTTTTTTCACAGATGCTTATTCCAGAATTAGACTTCAACTTACCATTTTATTTATTCATTTTTCATTTATTTATTTTTTCTTTATTTATTGCTAGAACCCTGAAGGAACGCTGACATATTGGATAGATCTGTAGGAGTAGAGTGTGAGACAGATAATGCTATTATTTCTGGCCCCTATGTATGAAGTAGAGGAATCTTGTTGTCCTAAACTACTACTCACAAGTGATGAGTTTGTATAACAAAGGTTCTTTTTCTGTATTACCTGTGCAACCCTCAGCATTATTGAAAAGTAGCTTTTTATCTATTTTGAAAAGCATTGTCAAAAGCTGAAAGTAATGAATTAATGTTTAGACACAGGTTCCCTTCAAAGTAAAGTAAAGCTGAAAGATGAATTAATGTTTAGACACAGGTTCCCTTCAAAGTAAAGTTGACACCCTCAGTCTCTGGGCGCCGTCTGGTAAAAATTCAGCTTCACTTTAACATAATAAGCAATGAAGCCAGACATTATTTTGGAACACATCTACATAGCATCTTATGAAAGATTCAAAGAGCAAGTTAATTGTTACAAAGACCAGGTATGAGAAGTAAAGTTGACACTCTCAGACTCTGGGTGCGGTCTGGTAAAAATTCAGCTTCACTTTAACATAATAAGCAATGGAGCCAGACATTATTTTGGAACATATCTACATAGCATCTTATGAAAGATTCAAAGAGCAAGTTAATTGTTACAAAGACCAGGTATGAGTGAACCCTTTTTGGTGTGTTGTGCAGCTCCCTAGCTTACTAAGATGATGTGGCAGTAAAAGTCCTGTTAGAAAAATTCATATAACTTGCTGTTATGGGCTCCTACAATGCACTCTAACAGTCCATTGCCTCTTCTATTGATCAGTGGAGAACTCGCCATGGGTTTCTATGGAGAATTTACTCCTTCTCTCATATCCTGGTCCTTGTTGCTCTGGTATTTGTTGATATCTCTTCACTTACTGTCTCGTACAATTTTTAAGCTATCATTTGTGCTTAAGATCACTCTCATTTTCTTTGTCATTGCTTTTATCTTCATAATGAAATTCTCTCATTATCTGATAGAGATGAAAATTAAGATTCTGGTTGCTAGTTATTTCTCATTATCTTACTGCAATGATTCCAAGATACTATAATTTATCTCTCTCAATTTAGGTTAATATGTATGAGTGGAGTGAATATAAGGTACTGATTTATCTGTACTTTTTAATTGCAGAGAAAAATATTTTCAGTAGAACTAAGAAAAACTTTAGGGCAAAGCAGCACTCTTCAATGACTATTTTGTGTTCTCCAAGTGATTAATTTACTGCAAATTAACTTTGCAAAGTTAGCAAAATTATCTCCAATATTAAACATACTAGATGAGCTTCTCATTCATTTTTTTACTATTGTGTTACATTGATACTGTTTACTCAGAATGAACCTGAATACATCAGAGATCAGAATGAAAGATCTTCTAGTCACAAAACTTTTAAAAGGAAGCCATGGAATATATCTTTATGTCCTTTGATTTGGGAGAGCATGAATTAGAAAAAACAGGATGGTGAAAACAATGAGAAAAATAGGAAATTGAATTTCCTAAAAAATTAGAAAATGTGCATTAAATGATAATGAACTGAAACAGGCACAAAAAGAAAACAACTTATTTGAAGAATAAAAAAATGACTTCAATGATATATGTGCACCCATGTTCATAGCAGCACAATTTGCAATAGCTCAAAGTTGCAAGCAGCCCAGTTGCCCATCAATGGAAGACTGGATAAAGAAAATGTGGGTTTTTAAAAAAATTAAATTAAGCATTACTCAGACATAAAGATCAAGAGACTGAAGACATTTATTGGTAAATGTATGCACATTGAGGCCATACTCTTACGTGAAATAAATAGGACACAAATGTAAATACCAAATAGTTTCTTTACAGTGAGAAACTGAAAGTATAAATACGGATTAAAAGGTATAATAGACAATGTGAAATAGGCAGAAAAGGTGCAAAGGGGAAGGGAATTAGGGATGGGGGAAAAAGAAGGGAATGGAATTAATATGAGAAGAGGAAAAAATGGAAACAAAATCTTTGTAGATAGTGAGGGGTCGAGGGGTTGAAGGGAGGGCAGGGGAATGGGGAAAGATAAGAACCAAGATGGATTATGTAAAGGGGCAAGTTTCCGATGACGAATGCCATTATTGCATACCTCAATGCACCAATAAAATTATTAAATGAAAAAGAAAGGCAAAGGGAAACAAGAACCTAATTTCTCTAGTTACAAGGGGGCTGCACATCAAAGTCATAATGATACAGCACTTCACAGGCTGTGGTATGGTTTTAATACACAAACATAAATGGGAAAAAGTGTTGGAAAATTGTAGCAAAATACAAATTTTTATTCACTGCAGGTTTCACTTGTATTGGAAAAAGTCTTGCAGATCTTCGAAAAGTAAAATGCAGTATACCTGATGACCCAGCAATTCCATTTGTAGTTATACTAACATCTATATGTGAAAACAGGCTTGGGTTAGGGATTTAGTTCAGTGGCACCACGCCTGCTTCTCAAGCACAAGATCCTGATTTTGATCCCCGGTAAAAACAAACCAACAAAGAAACAAAATTCGGCTATGCTCATCCAAGGGTGTATTATTCGCTCATGAAAAGAAATAAAGTACTGATGCGTGGTATATCACGATGTATCTTGAAAACGTCATACATGTGAAAGAAGGCAGAGAAATAGCTCACATATTCCATGGTGAGACAGCTCTGAGGCCACAGAGCAGGTCAGATCATAGAAAGAAAGCAGAACAGTGATTGTCAAGAGGCTGAGTGTTGGGGAAATGCCAAGTTGCTTCTCCGTGTGTACTGAGTTTACATTACCCATGATGCCTTTCTCTGGGAGATACACGAAGGTGAGTTGCACACCACTGTGAATGTGCCAGTGCCGCTGAATTGTACACTTTAGAGTGCTTATTTTATTTTTGTATGAATTTTACCCTAGTTCAAGTAAAAAAAGCAATTTATAAATGATAAGAGGATCAAATCAATTATTTTCCACAGAGAAAAATTAATTGGTTTAACATGGTGCAAAGATAACACCTAGTGTTGATCTCCCAGCAAAAATCTGGCTTAGTCACATAATTTTTGTGCATATTCATATATAATGCATATATATGAAGATCAACATCTTGCTACTTATGTTTAAAATATCTTACATTTTTCTGAGAAAGAAATTAGTAAAAATTATTTGCAATTAAAAGAAGAAACAGTAAAGCATTTTAGTGCAGGTTACATAGAAGCAAATTGCAAGTGAAGCAATAGCGTTCCACTAAAGGAAAAGTTTTATTCTCTGAAATGTGAAGATGATGATACACTTTAATTCTCTGTTATTATCTAATGTGGAGTTAAGTGGAGTAATATCCTTAGTGTAACTGGATAAAGATTTGAAACTCACCATTTTCTTCTTTTACTTTATCTGCAAAACAAAAATGAGAAACATTGGCAAACTAAAATAAGATGATTTACAACTACCATCATAAAAGATTGAATATTAGTTGTCTTGGGAGACAAAGTGAGTTAATTGATGGGAAAGAACAAAGAGAGAGAGAGAAAAAAGAGAAACTATCGAGATGTTTTTTGAATAAAAGTACATAAAAAGCACAAAGTGACATTTACACAGAGGAGGTGGGATAAATGGAAAAATAAGGAAATAGGCACAAATTAGGAAGATCAAATTTTGTACGTAAAATGTCAGTAAAACTATTCTGTTGCTTAAGCGTATCTGACAAATAAAAGCAGAATCAGGATGAGCCAAAAGCAAAGTAAAATATATTCTAAGATCACTGATATTCTTACAATGCTGCTCTATATCAGCCTCTAAGGATGTGATTTGAAAGTAGCATCCCATTTATTATCTAAAGTGTTCAAAAATAAATTGTTACACATAGTCAGAAGAATATAGTGAGATGAGAGGAAAAACACTTGTCTTTAGAACTGTATAATCCGCTTCCACTTTAGTTTAGTGCGTGGTGAGAGATACAGATCTTGATGATCTTCTGCCTTCTGCTTGCCAGTGTTGTATTGAAGATTTTTGCATCTGTGCTCATTAGTGACATGGCCAGGAGTTCTCTTTTTCCAGTTGGGTTTTTCTCTGCTTTGGGGATCAAGGTGATGCTTGCTACCAGGAATGAATTTGGGAGGATTACTTCCCTATCAACTTTTTGAAGAGTTTAAGCAGTAGTGGCACCAGTTCTCTAAATGTCTTGTACAATTCAGCATTGAAGCTATCACGGCCCAGGCTTTTCTTTGTCGGTGAGTTTTAAACGATGTTTTCAATTTCATTGATTGATTTTAGGTTGTTCAGAATTTTTATATCTTCTTTGTTCAACTTTGGTAAATTCATGTGTATTTAGAAATTTGTCCATTACTTCTGTGTTTTCCATCTTGTTGGAGCACAGTTTCTCAAAGCATCTATTGATCCCCTGGATTTCTGCTAGATCTGTTATAATCTCACCCTTTTCATTTCTAATTGCATTGATTTGGGAATTTCCTTTTTTCACAAAGTTGACTGTTTGTCAACTTTATTCTTTCAGAGAACCATCTCTTTTATTTTTTAGTTTTTGTATCATCC